ATTATGGCTCGATGTACCTGTAGGAAGTTAAAAGGATCGTAATTTCTCCTTTTTTCCTAGTTAGGAAGCCAATTATATTTCTGTAAATGATAGACTGAGTAGTCGAAGGTACTAATGGCGGTAGTGTTTAAGCATCTTATGTTGCACTGGTCAAATGATAGCTAATCTTACCTTAATTTTTGCGGTTGCTGTGATTTTGTGTTTACATGTATCACTTCATTTCACATAAGCTGCCTTTTGTACCTGTTTCTGAGGAAAGTATTTTGGCAATATGCGAAATGCCTGTTAGGTCTTGTTTTGCAGTGTAAGGGTGTGGTGAATGATTTGCTACATTGTCATAAAACATTATAGTATCTCAAGTTCTAAGGAAGGCGAGTACTTAATAGAGAGATTTGTGGCTTTAGGTATGCTGACATGAGTTATAGGAGAAGATCTCATTCTTTGACTTGATTTCTGGTTTTGGTTTTCTCTGTGAAACGTGGCCAAAGTGCAACTGTTTTTTTTTTTCCACCACGCGATTTGACGTATAGCATGTTCATATAACACGTGGACCACGGTTGTTTCCTCAGTCTACTCTGCTGTGGTTATTTATGCAGTCCAAAGTGCTCCAAAAATTGTGGTGTTGTGTTCTTGTTAGTCCCTCCTTTTGTAGCTTTTCTCTTGAGCTCTGCCTCCTAGTTGCTCTTCTAATCGTTTCCTGCGTCTGTCATCTGTATCCTCCTCTTGTTCTATTTCCCGTGGGCAACGCTTTTCCGTTTTAATTCTTCCTTGAAATTTCGACCTGGTGCTCTGGGTTAGCCTATCACCCGGTGGTTTGTGTGGGTAACACTTAACTGCAGGGGTTTGATCGTAGGAAGCTGTTCATCTGAAATGGTTGGCAGGCAGGACTGCCCCGTAACAACTGGGCATGACAAGCTGTCATGCCTCTGTCTTGGACCTCTTCACCTCCAATAAAAAGACTGCAGCCGGAATGTGACTGACAATTTCGTTATTGATGCATGAGGCAGAATAAACTGCAGGCTGTATATCTCTAGTTTAGATGATATTACAGTTGAATCATTTTTCTCCATGATCTAAGCTGATGTGACTCAGAAAAATGACATCATGTCACCCCATAGTACCGCTTCCTACTTCTACAATTATGCCTGTTCTATAATTATGCCAATTTTTTTTCTTATCAGGACTCCTTCTGCTTCCCCTCACCCTGAGCAAAGATATTGCTAAATACTTCAAAAGGAGATGCATGAATCTAACACCTAACTTTCTAGGCTAAGGACTATCCAAAAACGCTTCCTGGTAATTCACTGAAGAGCCAGGCACTTAGACCATTGCATTGACTTTGACTGCAAGCTTTCTAAATCATTTGTAAGAGCAATAGGCCTTGGTCGAAAACGAAGGAACTTGTGCATTTAAGTATGTTTCATTTAAAAGAAGTGCCAGGGACTCATCAGGGAGTAAATAGGTATTAAGGACAGTCCTCAAATTTAGTTTAATACTAACTCAACAATTTTTAAGTGCTTTTGCTGTATTCTAGTTTGTAATTCTGCTCGTTTGTCCACAATAAAGAATATTTTCTGTGCTGCTTTTGCCTGTGTTACAGCTGCATTTATTAATGTGCTGCAGGTTTGGATGTGCATTGCCGTTTAACAGAACCTCTTGGAATGAGAATAGCAGAGTTCCCTTTGAATCCTATGTTTGCAAAGATGCTTCTGGAATCAGGTAGGACAGAAAAATTCAGATTTTCTTCATAGTTTCGTGCATAAAGTAGAAGATACTGCTTCTAGTAATTGTTGTGTAGTATCGGACATTTACTAAACTTGGAACAAACTATATGATATGCTTAGTGAAAAGAAAAGACTTGATTGAGCTCACAGTCCTCTCTAATAAAGTTAATTAAAATCTAATCAATTTGTCTTTGAAGCTTCCTATTAAAAATATTCCCTATTATACTCAAAAATCCAATAGTATACGTGTTTTAGTTTGATATACGATAAAAATATTCTGCTTTTCCTCTGCATTTTCCTGTGTTTTGTTAAGTTGAAGGAAAGAGGATTTCCATGACTGAATTTCTCTGCTTACTCTTCAGGAAATTTTGGCTGCTCCCAGGAGATTTTGACCATTGCTGCCATGATGCAGATCCAAAACATCTTTGTGATCCCTCCAAGTCAAAAATCGCAGGCTGTAAGTTCAGTCATGTTGTTTTTTGGATAGTTCAATATTTCTAAATTTCTGCCAAGTACCTGTTAGACTTTGCAAATTTGTATTAAAATGAAACAAGGTCTCTGACTCTACCTGTTGGTTAGAGATAAAAGGAGAAGTTGAATAACAGTGAGAGCCTTGCAATCCTTTGCTAGTGCCAAAGCTGCCTCCTGAGGACCAGAAAAATGAAGGGTTATAAACCAATATTTGTCAGCGCCAGGGTTTGTTAAAGAACCACCCCCTCTGTCCCCAAATTAAAAGAAACAAACAAACTTTCTTTTGGCAAGAACAAAATGAAGGAATTAGGATACCTTAATAGGTGGCAGGTACCAAATTTTAATGTATCCCTCTCTTGCGTTTTTGGAGTCTATTTTCAATTCATTTTTTTAATTTCGATTTTGGAACGTGTCCTAGACACATATGTGCTATTAAAAGATTGATTATTGCCTAGAAGTGCTGTACTTTATGGTAAGAGTTAGAATAGTCCCTGAGAAATATTGAAAGTGATGGGAACTGAAGGTATTGGAAATGATTGTTGCAAAAATCAATCTGCCTATAATAATATATTTCTTTTCCTCCAGGCCAGGCAACACAGAAAGTTTGCTGTGGAAGAGGGTGATCATCTCACTATGCTTAATGTTTATGAAGCCTTTGTCAAAGTGAGTCGGTTTGCGTGCATGTGCATTTGCAGGAATGGGGAGAGTCCCTAATTCTGAATCTGGAAGCTCTGGATATGACATCCTCAAAGTTGTGCACTTGTCAGGGCTATAAAATGATAGTTTAGCTTTTAAAGATATTTAGTATTAAATAAATATTAGTATAAATAAGTATTAGATAATAATTATTTAAAAAAGCCCCTCATCCAAAACAATCAGGCACCAATTGAAATTTGGCCTGTAAAATTTTAAATCTGCGTAATTCTCTTGAAAATATCCACACGCAGAGACTCTTGGAATAAGTGTTGGCTGCTAGAGAAATAACACTTTGCACAGAGAAAACCAGTGAAAACAATGTACAGGAAAGTCTGTTTACGTTTTGAGATTGAAAACTGAGACAAATATATGATATGAAGCATTTGTGTGTGAGAATGGAATGACTGATGCTGTTCTCCTTCACTGTGTATGACGAAATGAAGTACACTTTTAGAAGATATCCCATGACATTTGTTCTGCTCCTATTTAGAAGTTATTTGAAATATGTTTTGCAGTTCCTGGCAGTATGCAGTCTTGCTAGTTGCTCCTTAAATAGGTAATTTTCAGGGAAAATGACGGTAAATATCTTGTAGGAGACAGGAGGAAAAGAAGAATAAGAGTATGTGACATACTAACAGCATAAGAAGAATAAGAGTATGTGACCTGAAAGAGCGAGTTTGTTGTTTTGTTGATGGTATTCGATTGTAACTTTTTTTGTCTTCTCACTGTTTAGCACAGCAAGAGCTCTCAGTGGTGTCAGGAACACTTTCTAAACTACAAAGGCCTTGTGAGAGCTTCTGTTGTAAGAGAACAGCTGAAAAAGCTTCTTGTCCGCTTTAAAGTACCAAACTCGTCCAGTGAAGGTGAAGACTTGCTTGCTTTTTTGTTTTTGTTTGTTTGTTTGTTTTTGAACTTGTGGCTTAGTTTATGTTGATGGTAGTCTGCAAATTGTCAATGTACTTCCTGCTTTTCATGTAACTTTTGAAATATTTTCTCCCTGGCTTAAAAATAATGTTAAATCAAACCAAATATTTTCCTAGAAATGACTGTAAAAGAGCAACATAGGCTGTTTTGACAATTAGTATTTATTCCAATCTTAAAAAGTTAAAATTTCCAGCAAGGTAATATAGAGATTATCACCATTGATAATGGTCAGATTTAGAAAGACTCAGGGATAAGTCACCCAGTTCCTTTTTTTGCCTTTTCAAAAAGGTCTTTTTCTACTATGTTCAATATATTATACAGACATTGGGATTTGATTTTCAGCTGTGTTGACAGTGTGTGGTTGCCATGAATAGGTCTCAGCGCTTAGCTCCAGCTGCTTTGAAGACTGATTTTTCAGTGCTTAGCTGTCACACAAGGTTGCTCTAAGGACTATGAGACTATCTTCATGGAGACACCAGTGGCAACAGTAGATTTTTACATAGTAATTTTGATTTGCTGTGAAATTGAAGTGAAAAAAGGAGTGGAAGGTCTGTTTTGCCTTCAAGCCTTTGCTGTCAAAGCCTGATTAAGTGCAAAACCTGGTTTTAGGTGATTAGGTGGATTTAAAGGCTTTTTTACTGTTGCATTGACTCATTTCACCAAAAAAAAAAAAAAATCTTTTCTTCAGGTGATCCAGATCCAGTTTTGAGGTGTATAGTTTCTGGATTCTTTGCTAACGCAGCTAAATTCCACTCTACAGGAGCTTATAGGTAAGTATATGTAGTTTCACTGGAACTGTTGTTTAGTTTAACAGATTCTTTTGACTTGATAAATCTAAATGTAATCGCCAAATGACAAACTAATGCTTCTCTAGATACTTGCAATAAGAAATACATGGCAATTGATTTAATAAATCTTTGAAGTTTTCTATTTTCATACTGCTTCAATGTTTCTCTCTATTTTTTTTTTTGCAAGTATATATAAGCGATTAGAGATATTGAAGTGAGTAGCTGTTACTGATAGTAATTAGCTTGTGTTAATACAAGCAAGTATTATGTTGCTTTTGTAGGACTTCCAGTGCACTGAATAAAGGCCTGAAACCCTACTTTTTCATTTAATATAGGTAGAAATCTTTTAGGACATTAAATTCTCAATCATTCCTTTGGCCAGGATTTAAGCCTGGTTTCACCTGAAAGCCTTTTCATTAAATGTGAGCGCTTTTACTTTGCTGCAGCTCTTTCACTGTTGCCTTTTATTAATGTTCTGGCTGAGAATGAAGAGAAGCAAATGTTAAATAATAAACCTACACACAGTCTGAAATAGTACCTTGCTTTCAAGGACCATACGTGATGACCATGAACTTCATATTCATCCCACTTCAGTGTTGTATGCAGAGAAACCTCCACGCTGGTAAGTTAGAGCTGCTTTTTCCTCCTTCGTGATCTAGATGAGTCATTCTGGAGCATCCAGGCGTTTGCATGAGTGACTTTGCTCCATTAGCGGAGCAATGAATGTAGGAGACCATGGTTCCCACAGTGAGGATTCAAACAGTATTTTCCTTATAACTGTTTATAGGCAATATCCCAGTAAAACAGGAAAATGGAGTGTTGTTTACACTATCAAAAAATTGCAGAAGTTGGAAAGCAGAGTCAGGCGACCCTTTCTGAATAAGTACCACGTCTTCCACTGCAAATTGCTCTCTGAGTAGTCTCTTTGCATAGATAGAACTGGGGTTAATTACTTTTTATTAAGCCTATTTAATAAATGTCCTGTCAAATAGGTTTTGCAGTAATTGTATATGGCTTGCTAGAAGAGGGCATATGTATAAAATGCATGAGGCAGAACGTTTGACAGAAGTTATGGTTGTCTAAAAGATTGATGAAAAAAATAGTTGTACTTTCATGTTAGCTGGGGTGTTGTGACTCCGTTTGTGTGCCAAAAGTGCTGAGTTAACAAAGGGAAATGTGTTTCTAGCTACCAGGTCAGGATGATCAACCTAAAGTATTTGAACTCTTGTCCTCCTTTACACCGAATGTACAGGGTTTGTAGAAGTGTAACTGATGGTGAACTTAGCCACCAATTACACTGGCTCACAAAACAGAAGTGAATCCAGCTCACTAGGTCTTATCTGTGTCGTTTCTTCAGGGCTGAGCAGAGCAGGGTGTAGCTAAAGTAATTTTTACCACTGAAATCAGCCTGCATCTCTGCTTTTTTCCCCGTTATTCTTAACCTGTTGTCACTGCTTTTAAGAATAAACTACAGTTTGTTATTAATAGTAAGAAGAATACTTGGCAGATATACTGAAATTTTCCAGCTTGCAGTAGATGACTCCTGAAAGAGGTTGGGTTATGAGAGGTTGGCAGAACTGCAGGAAGAAAATACGATCATCTGGAAAGGAAAGTTTGGAGGTAGGAGAGTACTGAAAGAATTCCTTGTACCAGTACACACCTCCTGCATCATCTTAGCTGAAGACTTAAGTACTGCAGCAATCAGCCTTTAGATGTTTAGCCCTCAGAGTGGAATCTCCATCCTGGTCTTGGGCATTTCCAGGCACATAGAGAAGTAGAGCTGCAGACATTTGGAAGTCTTAACGGCCAAAGACTTAAGACTCTGTTTGCTTCACTGCCTGTGTGGTGTAGGTGGCAGCAGCTTTGCTGGAGTTTTCAGGAATATTAATGCTAGGATTAACTCTCTTTTGGATCCCTGTGCTGTGGAACGGGCGCATGGCTGCCTCCCAAAGGCCATGTGGTATTGTCGTTGCCGGCTTTAGCATCCTGCTAGCAACCCCAGCTTCAGTACTACTACGGTTTGGGAGCCCCTCCAGCACTAGTGTGTATGGTTCAATTCTCTACCCGTTACAAGTGTATATAAAAAGTGTTCTCATTTGTTTTTATTTTCCTTGGATTTCTGTTCAGTTGTAGTCGTGAGGTTAGTATGTGCCTGGCTGGATTTGGCAGAGGAGAGAATTTTGCACTCTTTCTTCTTTACTCTGGGAGCAAATATCAGTTAATGAGAGACCACAAGCCTTGTAGATTCGCAGCTTTGCTGTGTATAGAAGGCAGATAATGACATTATGGTTTTGGTGACTAAGAGTTCAGAGTGTGGGTTTGTGCTTCCTTGTTTAAAAATGACTTTCCCTGCAGAAAGGTGGCTTTAGAGATAGATTGCCTCTTCTGTTCATGCTGGCTGCCAGAAGCGAGTCCGCATGGCTGCCTGTTTCTAAATCTCTAACCAGGATATGTTCCAGCATTTGTTAAAACTGATTTCTTCGTGTAATCCTTATGCTGGTTGTATGCAGACAGGCACCAGGTATAGTCGTGCTGTAGATCTAAGGTTTTGGTGCCTTTGATGTCCTCCTCATGCTATCACATAGTAACTAATGTTCTCTTCTTGAAATTGTTGTTATGAGTCATCTTGACCCCATAGTTAGAAATGGTCTTTCTATTTATACCTTGCATCTCTACTCCCTGGTAGTATGTGAAGATGTTTTTAATGGCAGTTTAAAAGCTGTCTTAACGTAGAGTACTCTCAATGTAATGTTGAGTACGCAATGTAATATTTTACGTACAATGTAATGATGAGTACACTCATCCGAAGAGAAGTAGGTAAGAGGCTGTATTATAACCTGCAGACTCTCTTGTCATGCTGTGAATAGTACCACTGGCACTTTATTTGTGAAACTGTCTAAATATGCTGTTAATCACCTGTCTCCTTGATTGCTTTGTAACAGTTGTTGTCTATCTATCTGTCCCTCTCCTAGGGTAGTCTACAATGAAGTCATACAGACCGCCAAATACTACATGAGAGATGTGACTGCCATTGAGTCTGCATGGCTCTTGGAATTGGCACCTCATTTTTACCAGCAAGGAACGGTACGGCATTGGCATAGAGCCCAAACCATTGTATTTATATTAGCAGTTCCTGCATCTAAAGTTTTAAGTCTTTGTTTTTAGTCTGTTTAATGGTATAAAAATTAATTTGGGTTTGCTTCATAATAGTGGTTTTAATGTAGAGCCTCAGTGGCTCTGTGCCTAGACCTTATGTGCCTAGGCTTTTGAGGAAGCTAGATTTGACATTAGTTAGGGCCATGGCACTCAAAGTCAGGCCTTAGTTCAAATTCTTTATTAAAACAAGAACAACAAAAAACCTTATATATGGAATCTCCTGCCAAGCATTGCCAACTCAACTTTGAAAATGATGGTGGTTGTGGAACTATCCATTGGCTTGTATTCCTGCTAGTAGCCAGCAATGTATTATCAGATAGATATAGTATTTGGTTTTATTTTTTGTGCACCCGTCTCCCAGCTAGTCTCCCTTTAGCTGAACGGCTGATTTGAAAGCAGATTAGGTTTTGACGTTGTCAAGCTGAAGGCCGTATGGTGGCCTTAGCCCTCTGGAAGATGTCCATATAATCCACCACCTTTAGTGGAGATAACATTGCTCCTAGTCCTGAACAGGAACAGCCACAGCATCCAGCTTTTGAAAAGTGCTTACACGGGACATAAGAAAAGAGGTGACTGGAAAGGCGGCGAGGTTTCATACTGTTCATGGATTTCTAAATAGCATTGGGTAATATATGCAAAAGTAAACCAATAGCAAGTAACAAAACATGAAATACTATTCCTGTATTCTCATGGTAACAGTCTGTAGACCGTTGCATCTTGCTTCCTTTTTTTCTTGCTAAAATTTCTGAACTCTCTGCAAGGTTAAGCTTGTGGAGATTGTTGTAGTAACAAGCTTGTGTATTATGTGGATATTGAGTGGAAGAAATGCGCTGGTATGTCAAACATATGCAAAATAAGAGATTTGCTTATACATACAAACAGCCATGTTGCAAAAGTGGATGTTTTCAATTTATACAGCTGCTACCTAATTTGACATTTTGGAGTATCTCACGCTTGTTTCTTTTCACTTCCTGGGGCTTTGGGGAAAAAAGTATAACACTGTGCTGCCTAGAGCAACTCAGGACATAGCTATGTGATTACAGCCAACAACAGCGTTGGCATCTGTCCGTGTAATTGACTTGAGAGGTTTTTTTTATGTTGAGCTTGGCTAATTCATCTCAGTTATCCAGACACTTACCATCCATAAATGAACTTTCTAAGTAGTTGAATATTTTCGGACTTTTATTCCATAATGCATTTGATAGAGGTAGTAATGACCCCGCAGGGCAGACCCTTGAGTCTTTAACTGCTGTTTGACATATGTTCTGCAAGCATGGCGTAAAAAGGAAACGAGCCAATGTTACAGTTGTATCAAATCTACCTCTGGAATAATTCATCCTTCTGACTCGCATATTTACTTGCTGTAGCATCCCATACATAACGTACCTTATGATATGACCTCTCCATGGGCTAAAACCTGGAGTGAGGTTTTCCTTTAGGTAGGTTCTGTTGGGGAGTGTGATTCGGTGACTCACTTAGGCAAAACTTCGATTGCTTTCTGTAAGTGAAGAAGTGTTGTCCTGATTTGCATTGCCTACCGTGCTGAGAGAACATCTTTTTCAAGGCAGTGCTGCCACTATTGTAGATATTCTGTAAAATTACATCAGGACCTAGTTCTTACCATTGTCACCCTTTTTGATTTGATAGAGACAAACTCTGTTAAGTTTGCAGCATGTCCAAAGCATCATTTTCATCCTAAAGGAAATGGAAGATATTGAGGCTAGAGCTATTTTTGAGGGAAATTACCTTTTTCAGTTTGGCCAGTTACTATCTTCATGAGCCAAAGAGTTTAGCTGTATTTATAGAATGTTTAAAAATAAGAAATATGCCTGTTGTTTGTTTAAAGCCTCGGATTATACACACGTTTTCATTAAGCAGGCAATTACAAAACACACAAATATATATTAAATTATACTCATTCATACCCTTTTTATGCTAGAAGATATATCTTTGTGCTAGGAAGAGATTTTGAAATACAGGAATTTTTATTCCTTTATCAAGTTAAAAATGAATTAAAAGTGAATAGGACTCTGTATTAAAAGATTTTCTTCTGTAATTTGATCACAGTCTTGATCAGTTATGCTTCCTTCCAACTTCTGCAGTGGTTTGGAAGGCTTTTATTCTTGTTTTCATTCCATGTTTTTTTGCACACTTATTTTCTTCAACAGCATAGAGGTTCAAGGGTCTAATGAAACCGCAGCTGCGATGTTAATGTATCAGTTAAAATCTTATGCTTCATATATGGATTCCCAGTGTCTGTATGTGCAGATGTTCTGTTAGGAGGACATGTTTCTTTCTGTGCACTTTTACACGGTGATAAATTGTTTCCAGTGGGAATTTGGGCATATACTTGCAATTACTACAGAAGTATTAGAAGATGATATTTTATACCAACCCAAAAAATCACTTTAGGATATGTGTAGTTTTTAGACTTCATAGATTTATTTTAGCTTTATTAATAACAAGCAGGGCTTGGGAGGGGTGATGTTTGCTACTTTTATGAGGATTAATTTAATTCAGGGTTAATTAAATTGAAGACTGAGTGCATTCTAATAAAACTTTTCTAAATTGTGCCATATGCTAAGCAGTTTTTCTTTTCTTCTTGCAGCATCTTTCCTTGAAAACAAAAAGGGTCAAAGTAGATGACAACTGATTTGACAGTACTGAAGTCTTGTGACATCAGATGCAGAACCTACCTGTGAGGTGAAGCTGGCTACAGTCCATTCAGCAGTCAGTTCATTAGCAATTTGGCCTTACATCAATTTACATGTTTAAATGCCTGTCAGGTTCTATAGGGGTTTGTGCTTGACCAGTACGTTGTAAGCCTATTGGAGCTTGCGTTGTGGACGTTCTGTTCCTTGCCTAATTGACCACTGTTGTTAACCTGGGCATGAGCTCAAACCTTGGGGAGGGAAACCGAGTCGCTAGAGCGGTACAGCTGCCTTACGAGAGTGGGGAGTGGGGTACCCTGCCTTCTGTTACCTGGAGCACTGTGACTACTACTGGCTAAACTGAGACTCGCTCCTAACAGGAGATAGCTCAGGACAATGAACTAGCCTTTGCAATGCAAAGGGCTGCCATGGAAACATTGATTTCATGTGTTTGGCTGTCCCGAACTGATGTAACTTGTGCTCCCAAGGAGTGAAAGTTTCCTGGTTGCCCCTAGTTCCCATATGCTGTAACAGTCATTCTGTAGGTTGCATCGTATTTAAAATACGTGGTTTCCATACATGAGACTTGCTGCTCGGAGAGGAGGGAGGAGGATTAGCTCAGCCTTTTTGAGAAGATCTTTAAATTTTTCTCCATCAGGGGACTGTACGTATATTTTTCACAATTGTTCATGTTCACAGGTGCAGCTTTATTTATTTGTATTTTTTTTCTCCTCTACAAGAGAAAAGATGCTAGCCTATCACCATTTGGAAATCCCAGAAAATTGTGACGGGTATATCATGGAACACTGTTTTTAGCCTACGTTGTTCAGCAAAGATGAAAATGTTTTGTACTTTCCTAATAACGAGCACAGTCCTATATATTTTTTATTAAGTATCTGTTCTTTGCTGCTTGGGACTTATCTTCTTGCTGCAAGAGAAGGATGCTCCAAACAGTTGCTGGTTTAACAGGGACTCCATGGCTACTTATTCATAAAAACCTGTACCTTTCTGTGTTTAAACAAGGTAGCTTGGATGCCTTTATTTATTTTTTCCTGCCATTTTAATATTTATTTTAGAAACGCATTGCTTGAAAGTTTTATTTTTGTAAGGCAGTTGACTTGGTAGATGCATTTCTGGCACGTTAACTACAATTGTAATTTCATTTTTTTAAAAAAAAGTATGTAAATAAGTGAAATTTTCTACGTAGGATGAATGTCTTCCTCTTCTCAGGATTGCCTTGAAAATATTCTTGGTTGTCTTTACCTTTTCCTTTTAAAACACCTGCAGAGAATAACGTGTTCTGTTATGTGCGATACATGGTCTATGTACTGATTACCAGCACAAAAAGATGTACCAGTCCCAATATAGGGCACCAACAGCATGACAAACTATATCACCTCCTTTTTTGTTTTCCTTGTGAACCTCATCTTCTCTGTGTTACTTTCTTAGAATGGAAGCCCTTTGGGGCAGGGACTGATTCCTAGCCAGAGCCAAGAGCATTGTTGGCACTTGCTAAAAAGATACAACATGCTTTTTTTTTTTTTTTTTCTTTTTTTCTCCTAAAGGATCAGAGAAAGAATTGAATATGAAGACTTGTAAAATGTCCATGTCTCTCTGTCCTCTGGAAATATTCTTAAGAAAAATAAAACCCTTGAATCAAGGAAGCTTGAAAATGCATCGCTTCAGCCTATCTGAGTAGTGTGTGACTTCCCAGCATACACTGGGTGGTTGTATTGTGCAGGTCTAAATTTTGATGTGCCACTTAATTTGCCACTTCTGAGAATTTTGGCTGCGCTTGGATCCTGTTCTCCAGGTGCTCTGCTGCCTGGCTGTGCATTGGCAAAATACTCTCTTTGAATGATAGTGACTCCTGCTAGGCTAAGAACCTAGGGATGTAAAAGCTTTGCAATGTGCTGCAAGCAGTTGGTCCTGTGTAAGTATGAATGTAATAGGTCCGTGAAAACAAAAACAGAAACTGAGACTTCATGAGTCTTCATGGCAGGGTAGGTAATTTTAGCTAGGCTGCTGAGGTATTGCCAGAGGTGCACGCACAGTTAGTATAAGCGGCTTTTAGACTGAAGATGTGGGCTAAGAATGAGTTTGTTGGTATCTAAAGTTAAGGTATCTTTAGAGAGAAAGCGCTGCTTTCATCAGAAACGTGGAGCCTTTGAAGGCATTTGAAGTCAGAACCCTAAAACTTAAAAGGTCTGAAAAATCTCTTTACTTTGTTAAACTTTGGCCTACAGCTCTCTGCTAATGTTTGTATGTAGCACTGTGCTTTAAATAACTTTGAATAACGAAATGGGAAACTCTGCCATGTTGTTGGCTCTTTGCTGGATAAACAGTCTGTGTGCCATTGCGGGGGAGGCTGGAGTCATTTGAAGATGTTTTGAAGGAGATTATGCATCAGTTTAAATTTTGTTTTCAGGGAAAGATTATAACGCATTAGGCTCTTGCATTAAAATACCATTTGAAACACAAATAGAAGTTATGCCCCCACTGGCAAGGAGATGCGTGTTTTGAAAAAGTGAATCTACGACCTATTGATGTCAAATTACCATGGGGAAAAGAGAAGCTGTAGTCCTGAAGCCCATCAGCGAGTGCTGTCAGTGTTTCTGCTCATGACTTCAGTACTGTCAGTTGCAGGAAAAGATGAAGCTAAATTGGATTAAAAATTCAACCAAGACCATATTAATTGAAATATATTTCTCATCCTGTAGGTTAAAAATAATTCTGGTAAGCTGATAGAAAAACAATCACAGTTCTTCCTCGTTAATGTGAAGAAAGAGACCAGCAATTAAAAGATGAAAATTCAAAAAAGTAAAAGCAAATAAGTGTTTAGGGAGGTGTAACTATCATATTTTCCGTGTGCCTTATGATTAAAAATACCCTATATGTGACCCAGATGCATAAGGATTGATTAGTCTGGATATTTTGTGGATGAATAGGGTATATGATTGAGCCATGTGTGCAGCAGTGTTCCTTAAACTTCAGGATAATGTGCTGTGATTTTTTTTTTTTTTTTTTTGTTAAGCTAGGTTACTTACCTGTTACAATAAGCACGTTACAGGCAGGCTTTGGAAAAACGTGGTAAGTCAGATTGCGTACATCTTTCAACCAAAAAAAAGGAGTTTATCAGAATTGGCTATCTGCTTTTCTCTGTGACTCATTCTAGATTCTGATGGTTCAGACGTGCTCTGGCTCGTGGCCCAGGGCAAACAGCAAATACTGTTTCCTGGTGCAACGAATGGAAAAACAGGACGGAGATGCTAACCCAGGGAGAGCGTGGAGCAGCGTTTCTGTGTGGGAGAAGAGAGGGCCGTAACACGTTCAAACTGCTTTTGGTAATTCCAGCCTTATTCTGGAAAGACGTTTCTAATTACAAGGGAGGACTGGGCCAACATCTCCTGTCAGGAGAGCAGGTCGGGGGGAGGTGGGAGGAAGAGCAGGGAAGCAGGGAGAGATCTGAAGGCAGGGAAGGTGCACATTAGGTGCAAAAGCTTCTGCAGTGTTAGATCACATAGTGACTCGTGCAAGTGCCTTGCTCGTTTACTCCTCCAGTTGCCATCGGACAGCTGGCTGCTGAGCTGTTGGCCTGTTTGGTGGGAAACTGGACTTCCAGAAGGTACTTGGGAGTGAATCGGCGGAGCAGTCTCACTGCGCTCATCTTCTCTGTGTGGTTTCTGGATCTTGTGATAGAGTCGTTGACCAGCAGTCTTGGAGCTGAGGGCTGGACTGCTTGTTTGAGAGGTAGGCCAGCTGCTGATGGAAAAACACAGCCGTGATAACTTCAGTGCTGCGGTTATTGAGTGAAGCAGGGCTCAGTCATTCACCTCGCGTTGATGGATGTGAGAAGCATCTGGACAGTACACCAGCTTATATGGAAGGGTGATTCTATTCTGAAATGTAGTTACCAAAATCATTCCTTAGGTTTCAACAGCTTTGTTTAAAATTAGTTGCATCTTTTCTTCTGTTGGTCCTTCAGAGCCCACTCATTTGGGAGCATGAATTTGCATCTGTAACTTTTCTCGTCCCACCGTTCTGGTAAGTATCGTTTACTGTGCTAGCTCATCGCTTTTGAGCAACTGCATGAAGGCAACTTGGAACCAGTTTTTATTAGTGTAATTTCATAATTTTATATTAATCTTTATCACGGTGACCATACTAGCAATAATTGGCAAAGAAAACAAAACAATATGACTCAGCATTTAAGATGAATATCTCCTACGGGGATTTAGAAAAAAACAAGTTGCAAGCAGTACATAAGTGGCATATGGGAAAACCTGTCCTTGTATCCAGTTTTCAGTCTCTTCTAAGACTTGCAGAGCTCTTGTCCTTGAGAGCTTGTCCATTTTTTCTGCCAATTAACAACTTTACCCGTCTCTGCAAGCTTTCTCGGAGAAATGGGCAGTTTCACTTAAGACTGGCTGCACTTTCAGAAAGGTGCCAGCAGATGGCAGGCATGAATTTCAAACACTGGTATCTCAAGGAACAAATAATTGGCCAGTTTTTAAATTATTTTCATATTCTTTAGTTTTAACATTAAGATCAGTTAAGTGATAAATGGAGGCCAGGAGGGAATGAGGAAGAAGTACTTGGTGGATGTGGGATAAAGTCAGTATTTCAAGCGTAGAGATTAGTGAAAAGTCCAGAGTGCTGTGAGCTCTGCTGGTTTAAGAAACCAACCAACCTGTAAGTCAAAAAATGCTATAGCAGCTCTTTCAATTACACCCTAAATCATAAAAATGGCACCTTTACTGTGAGCCTTAGCTGAAAGCATGGAAGAGTGTGCTGGCTGGAAGTCTGTTAATGCTTCAGGGAGATTGACAGTATTTGTTAGTGGCTTTTATACTTGGCTTATCCAATGGATCAACCACAGCTGGAATTAAAAATAAAAGACTTTTTCAGTCTTCTGCAGCTACTTCCAGCTGGAACTCTCAGATTTTCATTAAACTAAATTTGGCAACCTTCTTGGCTAGTAGAAATATTTTTTATAATAAAGAAACTAAGAATTAATAGAATCCCTCAAGTTCAAAATTTCTGCCTGGAAGCTCTGTACATCTACAAAGGTCTTCCTGCAGAATCGAAGCCTAAGGCTGGAGCAGACGGACCTTATTAACAAGGTATGCGCTGGTATTCTACTGAAGGCTCGACATAAGGCTGCAAATCTTGTGGGTTACTTAGACTGTTTTTCTTTTCATACCTTGCAATGTAACTAATTTAGGTGTGCTGAATTGCTCTTCTAATATTAAATTAGTGATATTATCTTGGTTAAGGCTCCATGTTAACTTGATTGGTTTTCCTCTATGAAATATTGGTAAAATAGCAAAGTGCCTCCTTATGGGGAATGTTGTTTTAGCAAAATTGACATCCCTGGAAGGATGCCATCCATGTGTCTGTGCTAATTCTACTTAGAGAAGACTTGCTCAGAGCAGCATGATGAGGCCAGAAGTCCATGGCCTTTTATTTTGAAAGTATCAGTGTAGGTCTAAAACGTTACTCTCTCAGTGGAGAATTTGAAGGTAGGCATGTATGGGGTAGAAGCAGTGTAGGAATACCTTATTTCTTTTTGTAAGTATCCACTGCTGGCTTCGCTCGGAGACTGGATGAAATTCTTGAGATGACCTGGTGTGCTTGTTCTTAAGTATGTGCTTTGCTGAAGTTAAATGAATCTAGTCTACCCTCCCACCTGGCTCTTATCTCATTCCCAGTTTGTCCACGCTTCAGAGCGGCAGTGTCGTATCCAGTACAAAGAATTTTGTAAGTAGCACTAAAAATTCTCTCTGGACTTTTCATCCTGTACTACTTTACTGGGCAGCAAAGATGAGAGTATTCTCAAAACCTACGGGAGAGGGAAGAGGAAGGAGAATAAAAAACTGCAAAGGCTTCTTGACTCCCCTCAGGCCAAGAACCAGGTTGTTTATTGCAAAAACATATTGGCAGAAAGATAATCCAGACAGTGTTTTGATGCCAGGAAACATCTTTTATGAGCCAGATGTTAAGGAACTACTACTGTTTCTCTCTTCAGGACCTGGTAAGATATCAGAATTTCTAGAAAGACCTGTGAGCTGCCCAAGAGCCCTGCTTGCTCTAGAGAGCAGTGAACAAACCATTTCAGATGTAAGGCCCAGAGTTAGGACCAGAAAGAGCTAGGCTAACGTTCTGCCAGTAACACGATCTGTTTGTAAGGTGGAGTTAATCCTTCCTCCTTCTCATTCTTTGTCTTATCTATTTTAAAAAAGTCAAACTTTTGGGGGGCTGAAGGCTATTGCCAAATGCAGCGGGGTACGTGCATGTGTATTCAGGAGCTGGCACAACAGGGCATATCTTAGCAGTTGCTTCCAGGAGTGGGAACATATAAGGGGGCTTAGGAGGAGAATGGAGAAGCCAGGAACGTGCTTTGTCTAGAAGAATAAAAGATGAGCAAAACTGCCCCCAAAAGTGCTTGTTTCCAAAGGAAATGTCCTGCCTCTCCCAAAGGCTAGATGCTCACTGACATCTCAAAGACTGCCATTAGCGGCAGGGGGGGGGGGCAGGCCGTGAGCAGAGACATTAAGTCTCTCTGCTGCTAGGTCGTGGGCACAGACGGGGGGTTAGTGTTTGTGCGAGGCATTGATCACAGCAGCCACTCTGACATGTAAATACAGGCTGAGACAGCA